AACTGACCTAACAGTTGTCAGGAAAGTCCCACTTAATATTTGTTTGTGAATACCACTGCAGTGGTAGCAATGCTAACCCAGGATCTGACCCTAGAGATGCTAAGCACCATTTATTTGTGTTTTTCACAGCAGAAGTAGCAATGCTCAGAGTTAGCCTGTAAGATCACACCTCTCTGGGCAAACTCAGCAGCACATAAAATTGGTACAAGTACACAAATAACACCCAAGCTACACCTTGTGTAAAGCACTCATGCTCTGATCTTGCAGACACCTACATGCATTCCTTCTGTGAGTTGACTTAAGTAGGTCTACATACAGTAAAGTTAGGCATATGTGTTTTTGTTTGCAGGACTGGGGTCTTCTATTGCACCAGTAGAGGTTCTCTTCATGGAGAAGGGCTTGTGCACACTTCTCTTGCTGGGGATTGAAAGATAATGTTGTGTTTATACAGCTTTGGGATACAGCCTGCGCTTTTTGGAAAACAAGAAAAGAAAGATACAAAAAGAAGAAAAACTAAGAGTGCTAAGGCAAACTGTCAAATGGCACATCATACCTACTTTGTCATTCATTTAGATAACATCACAAAGGCAGACCAGAGGAGTTCTGTAAACATATACCATACAGTACATCAGCCACAGGAAATTAAAAAAAGAAAACAACCCTGTAATTCTTTTCTTTCTGTATTGATATTCTTTTAATTGAAAGAGATTGCCTAGCCACTAATCATAATGCTGTGTTTTTTGATTTATATTTTTCTTCTGTTAAAAAAAAAGAAAGTAAAATGTAGTGATTTGCAAAAGAAACAGTCTCTGAATGCAAATCAGGGACAACATGGAAGTGGATTCATAGAAACTTAGAAAATACAAAATATAAAAAAGTTTTGTAGGTTACTGTCTCCCAGTCTGGGAAAAGATACACTGAAAAGAATTTTTTGTTTGTCTTACAAAAGTTAAGGCGAACAGCTTGTTGTGGCAAAATGCTATCACAGAACCAGTTTCTGACTTTACTTCTTTTCTGTATTCTTCCATACTGAAATTGAGAATATACATGTGACAGCAAAAGTTAAACAGACAGGGAATTGGCTTAAAACAATACAGAAAAACTCCCATAATGATCCTTATGAAATCTCTCTCTGCTTGACTGTAGAATGGACCCTTTCCTTTGTGTCTGATTGTGCATATATTCCCATAGGCTACTTTCTCTCTGAGGGGAAGGGGAAAACTGACCCTTTCTGAAGCTCAAAGAAGCCCTGGAAAAGAATTTACATTCATCAGCCTATGCTAATGCATTTAAATCCCCATATAGTGTGGCTGCAGTCTAATGGCTAGCATGGAAAAGCTAACGTTCGGGCAAGGCTCTTGGGCTTGCAGAGGAAAATGATTGGAGTGAGCATGTTTAAGCTGACATAGCTAAGGCCCTCAGAGTTCAGACTGATTTGTTTTCGTTTTTGCTGACCTAAGACATTGAACAGCCTTTGATCAATAAAGACAAACCCTTTTCAGATAATCTTCTAAAAACGTCAGCTTTTTTTTGGTTCTGTCATGGGCCCATTAACCATGGAGTTCATATGAACACATAAAAAACACTGGCCTTCCTAGGCACTCAGTGTTAGCTATAACTACCGAGCAGTAAGTATTTGGCAGGTTTAAGGTTTAAGGCTTGTGCTCTACTTCTAACCACTAAAGGGCCACTTCTGAACGCTTTGATGTGCCACCATCTCCCAGTGACTTTGCGACTAAAATGGTTCCAGTGGTTTCAGACACGCTCTAGTCTCAGTCCCAGTAAACATCTCCCAAGGCTGTTTTTTAAGGGAGTCATCTCTAAAATGATGACTACGTGGTTAATGAGAAGATCATCTGTTAGGGGAGCATGTAGCTAAAGAGTTGCGTGGACAGACCGGATTACGAATGATACCCAGGAGCTTTCAGAGTACAGATGACACTCCAAATTCCCCATGTACAGGGTTTTGGAAAGACCCCTCTTTAGAGAACAGAGGTGGTCAGGAGGAAAAAGATGTGGCTGGGAACACACGGGGAGGTCAGGGTGGCCATGAAGGCAGGATTGCACCTGGAGCAGAAAGGACAGTATGATATGAAAGGACTGGTTAAGCCAGGAGGAAAGGACCGGAAGATTTGTCTGTAGGTGTTACTAGTAAAGTCAACAGACCCCCAAGTGAGAGAACTACTGTGAAGAGCACTGAGCACGTGATATCTTGCTGGAGTGGATGTGTGGAGGCAGCAGGCGTTGCCGTTAGAGCTGGGCGAGTCTGTGCCTGAGTGGCGTTCATAACGTAGGAAGGAGCCAGAAATGGTTTTACTATCCCCATAAATTTACGTTACAAAATTCTTTAGTGCTTTGGAGTCCTAAACTTGCCTTTTCAAGGCCCTAATTAGCTCCATGGCTAGCTTCACCCGTTGCATGCCGTTGTCTCCTAACAATATGAGCTGGGCCAGGTTATGGAGAGGTGATTACAGCTGTGTGGGTTGCTACTTGTCAGCTGAGCTGTGAGCTGAGCACCTTGAAAAGGCAGAGTAGACCATGAAATGTTTTTAACCAGCATCTGCGATGGGTTTGTGTACCACAGCCAAGCTGACAAGTGGCGATTTAGGAAGCCAGGGTAACTCAGTCTCTTGAGGTTGCTCATCCACACCTTAGCTCGTTGAGCATGAGGCTGTGGAGGTCATTGAGAGCACAGTGGAGCTGAAAACTCATGGCCTTATTTTAAGAAATATTGAGATTTTTTACCATTTAGCATTTCAAGGAAAAAAGCAGGCAGCTGATTTCCAGCCTTGTTTTCCACAAGCAGCCGCCAGACATACTATTGAAATGCGGGATTGCTGCAGCCGTTCTCCTTTCTTTGATAAAATTGTTAACCACAGAAGCCTGAGTGAAGTGATGATTTGCAGAGTTTCTGTTGGCAAATTTGGTCCTTCTCTTATCCAAAAAGCCCCCAGGGGAGGCTGAGGGAACATATGGAAGTCTATTACACATTAAATCAGGCTACTGCAGTGGATATAGAGGCCAGTGTAATTTTTGCGGGCGTCACATTGAAGTGACTTTCTTTTCCTAATCCCTATTTGCTTTTTTATTCACAATCACCTGGGTAATTGTGAAATGTTATATTAACAAGCTCCATACTGATGGCTAAGTGACCTAACACAGGAAATACTTTTTGCATTTTTTGTGTATTTGTAGTGTGCCTTATCGCTGTCATGAACAAGTGTCTTTATCATTGGCACAGAAAGAAAAGAGTACAGAGCAAGAACTCTGTTTAATCAGATGCTCTGAACTAACAATTAATGCGGTAAAAGCACCATCTAAGAAAGAACAGAAAAATTACAGGAACCACCTCAGATTGGAAAGAGGCTTTTTTTGTTGTTTCCTTCCTTCCTTCCTTTTTTTCTTTCTTTCTTTTTTAGTTTTTCATTTATTTTGTTTTTCAGTTGCTCTTAGCTATTTTCAAAAGTCTGATAGTTTCAAAGACACTTCAAAGTAATCTCCAGTATTTTTTAACAATACCAGAAAATATAAATCCTGATTTTTAATCTCACTTCTACAGGTGTAAAACCAGATGAAATCCACTGAAGTAAGTGAAGTTACACTTAAGTAAAACCAGTGTGAGGCAAGAGTTAGGCTCCTAATATCTTGCCATGAAAAAGCTGATTGCTTTTCCGTTGTAGTTAGAATCAAAGGACCAAGAAACAAAGAAACATCTGCTGATTTTGGATGCTTTCACCTTTTTACATTTTCAATTTGAGATTTTTTAAGGGGCTCGATTTTCAGAGGGCAGATGAAGAAAATTTTGCTGATAATCAAGTCTCTTTAGAGAGCCTCCCTCTGGAAAATGAAGCATCCAAAACCACTAGCAGTTTTTGAAAAAGTTAATCCTGTGGTTTTAGGCTTTTCTCCTGAAACAGCAGCTCAAACAAAACTCCAGCAGGCCTCTGCAGGAGTTTTACCTGGCTAAGCATCACAGGATCAGACCTATTGTCTGTAAATAGGTAGGTGCACTGGAAGTACACTCAGTAAGTAATACTTTCCTAAGAGTTACAAAACAAAAGTCCGTCCCCTGCCCCTATTGCCGACACTAAGAATTTCATCACCGATTTCAATGGGAACAGGGTCAGACAGTGAAAGAAGTTCATTTTATATTCTAAGGAAATAGAAGAAAATCTCTCTCATTTACTGGAGTCCAGCAGGAAAACTTCACGTATAAACGATGGTAGAGTTACTGAAAGGCAAGTAATTAGATCAGTGACTCCATCTCAGTTGGTGTGACAGCTGCATCTCCTTCATGTCAAGTTATTTCAACTGTAATTTAGGGAGATGGAGTACACATACAATACTGTAATCTGGAAGATTTATGTAAGGCAAAATCATCATTCAAACAATTTTTAAAAGGAAAATTAAGGTCCACTTTTGGGTTCAGCAATAAGCAGAAATGGCTGATGGTTTTTTTTGACACCTCTAACTAAACTGAAAAGTTACTATAAAACAAAACTTTGCAAACTTTTTGGGAAGGATTTATCTGAGCTTTAGCAAACTAAAAAAATAAAGTAAGCTATGCCTTCCCTTGAAAAATAAAAAAATAGGATCTATAAAATAATATTTAAATGTGATTAAAAAAAAAAAAAACATTTGTTTTAAGGCTGTTATATAATATATATATATATAAAAAATCAAATAAATATTAAAACTTTTTTCACTTTCCCATTTACCTCTCACTCTGTAATATTAAGAAAAAAAAAACCCACCCCCTTCACAACCCCTCCAGTAGTATGCTTGATGGAAAAATAAACATGCGTTCATCTTCCTGAAAAACTAGAAGTAAAAGCAACCCAACTGCAAGGCAATGGAGGCATTCACTTCCAGTTCACAGTATTGCAGTTAGAAGTACAGTGAGGTCTAAGTAAGTGATGGAGCAGGTGTTGCCTGGAAGAGGGAAGGAGGAAGTGTTCACATGACAATACAGCATTGACAGCGCTTTTTCTTTTGTGTACCTGGGGCGGCTTCCAAGGGCAGGCTCTCTTCTTTCCCCTCTGGAGAGGAGGGCTCTGTCGTGTCTGACAGAGGCCTACCAGAGACGAGCTCAGCGGCGTTCCCATCCATGGTAGAGATGTCTGTCACTGTCTTCTCCCGCAGCGACTTCTCGTCATCTTCATCGATCAGGACCAGTTCTGCCTTGATCGTTTCGTCATAACCCAGCACTTTCTTCGTCTCCTCTTCATCATCGATGTTCTGGTAGCCCATAAATATCATTGTCACCGGCTGATCTGTGCTGGCTTCCGGGGCTTCACCACCACCACAGGGTTTATCTTGGGGCTGAGGGTTCACAGGATGCCCTTTGCTGGGTTTGCGTACCATTTCCAGCTTTGCCTCCTTGAAGAGCATTTGCTCCTTCATATGGCTAAAGTTTCCATCTGCTATCACATTTCTGTCTGACACGGTCATTGTTTCATACCCTCCTTTTACACTTGATTGTCCAGCTTTTTGTATAAGTTCATCTACGTCCTTTGAGCTTAATTTATGTACTCCATTTTCTACCACTGTGCCACCAGAGTGAACCTCATAGACTACCTTGGTACCATCATCATAGACTTTGAATCCTCTTTGATGGGCCCCATCTGGGCCAATAGGTGAAGTAGAGACAATCTTGGTCTCTCCTGTCTGTTTGTCTTTCTCCACATTAATTTCCATGGTGTACAAAGCTTGAACGAAAACAAGAGAGGAAGTGCATGTTACAACAGAAAAAGCCAGTGAATGGTTAATTGCCAAACAGACAAAGAAAACTACGGTGCCCCTTTTCCTACCTCCTGTCTCTAAAAGGCCAAGCATTCTACGTTAGAGGTGGGACGCACACTGTGAACAGAGGCAGTTATTGCACCACAGATCTGTATGCAGCTGGAGGCTAGGCATACCTGCTGTAAACTGGAGAGAGTCTTCCAGCTCAATCGCGTGGAACCATTTCTGGTCAATTAGAAGCGTGAAGAGCATCTAGGGTTAGGTGTACTTTTGACAAAGGGAGGTGACAGCATGCATTTTTCCCTCAATCTTTTCTTTCTGAACTTGCCTCAAATTCAGAGAAAAATTAGTGTCCAGGACCTCCCTACTCTCTTTTTCTTTCCTGTCCTCAAACTGCCTGTTAGCTGGTAATAAGTCTCGTTTACTGCAAGTAAAACAGATTGTTTTATTATCAATACTTGCTCTTGCTTAACTCTTCCATCGAAGCGTTCATAAATTTTACAGAGGTGAAGAAATACTTGTTTACCCCTGTTCTACAGATGGGACAACAAAATCACACAGGACTGGAGTAATTTCTCCCAGCAGACTTGTGGCAGGGTAGGTTTCTTAGCTTTCATACTGAGGTATTGACACTGTGACCTCTGCTTGCAGATTAAGAGTATGTAAAAAATGACCTGCTCCCTCCTGTCTCCAAATGGGACCCTAAACATCATTTCCAAAGGAGGAAGTTGAAGAAAAAAATAATAATGAACTGCCTTTCAAAGCATCATGAAACAGAGGATAAACACGTATATGTGAGAGATGTTTCAGAACAGCAGTGAAACTTTTCTGGCCATTAAGAAGGACGCAATAATGAGAAGAAAACTGTAGCGACCACACAGTAGGAACAGACAGGCAGTCTGTAACCACAGTGGCGATGTGATCTCATTGGCCAGCTTTCCAAAGAAAAATGTGCAAAGGTTTCACAGATCTTCCAGAAGTGGTCACCTGTTTAAGTATTCCTTAATGGAGAAGAAAACATTTTGGCTTTTTAACAGACATCCACAGACACTTGATTACAATTTACTACAGGCAGTGACAAATGTCTGTGAAACTTACCATGACCATTTCCATCAATGAACCCCAAAGTTATAGCCATGATTTGTCTTACCTGGCAACATCACAAACTGATGCGTTCGGTTTTTTTGTTGTCTTTTTTTTTTTTTTTTTAATTGCATAGGGAACATCCCTTCCCCAAGAACAAATGTAGCTTATATGTATGTATTTAAAACATTGCTACTATAAAAAACCACTTCAGTTTTAATATCTTCCTTCACTCTTCTTATTCACAGACTGTGGAACTTTCTTCAGTATTCCTAAGCAAAGTCTGCCATCAGCATTAGGCACCTTACCGTGTTATGCATCATGAACCCCTCTGTAGCTCTATAATGATAGAAGTCATCTATTGCTGTGTGGGTCTGTATTACTTCTTTGAGGTGGTCTCATCTGGCCCCTTAGTGTGCAAGCTGCTTGGCAGGCCACCCAAACTGGGGTCTTGCTACCTATGTGTCGTGAGTGAAAGGGCCCTGGAGCAGCTCAGCCCAGAGGGCTGTGGGACCTCTGTCCTTGGAGGTTTCAAGCCCTGCGGTGAGCTTGGTGCTGGCCCACCAGCTCTGTGCAGGTGGTAGGCACAGAGACCTCTCGGGGCCCTGCACCCCAATGTGATGCTGGGACTCTGCAGCCTCTCCTAGGGCTCACTGCAGAGCTAGAAACCATGCTTGCTGCCTGGATGATTCCCAGTGCTGAGGAGAGACGATAGGGCTGTGTCAGCTCCCCCATTCCAGCCTGAAAGGTAGGGTTTCCGTGAGCCTGGGAAGAGGGACATGAACAAGGCTGTACTGCATTCACAGCTTGACTGAATCATGGTGCAGACCAGAAAGCAGCAGGCATGTGTCCCTCACTGATGACTGCCCCGGCCTAGGAGCTGGCAGGTAAGTATTCCTCAGGTCTCATGCAGGCAAATCTGCCTTGAAGCCCTTTAATTCAACTTATAGGAGTAATTAAACAAAAAGGTCCCATGACTAATATACTGGAATTTGCTCCTTTCCTGGTGCAATTTCATGGGTGGGAGGGTAAGAGGGAGAAAAGGGAAAGCCGAGTTTTGTTTATTTGCTTGGCCCTGGGGCCCATTTTCAGAGCTCTAGCTTGGTAAGTGACCTGTGAATTTCAGTTGATCACTCCAGAGCTGCTCAGGCAGATGTTGTACAAGAACTTCAGAGATCAGAAAAGTAAAAATAGGAGTGAGTAACCTACAGTGCAGACATTAAAACTGACGCACTGGCAGGTTTTTGAATGACAGCCAGCTGAACTGAAGCAAAGTTGAGCTAGGAGCACCAACATCTCCAGAAAATCATGTGTGGCAGGCAGAAGTTCCTGATTTGTCCTGTGCACCAGAGCTCCGCAGAGAGAGGTTACCGCCAGTCAGCTGACTGGCAGCACGCCACCTTCTCAGCAAGAAGCTGCGTCCCCAGCTCCGGCTGACTTTACGTGCTTCTCCTCTTGTTTGAAAAACAAAGGAAGTTATCTGAGACACGATTTTGGAAGACTGCTAACCTCTTTGGTAAAGGCTGCTGTTCTTCCTGTGACATATTGTTTTCTGCCATGTTATTGTACATTTTTTCAGTGCAATCTGCCATGCTCTCCCTGTTTCGAAGAACACATTTCATTTTGCTGTGGTGTACATTTGAATAAAGCTTACCTGAGGGGCCTGAATCCTGAAGCAGATAGGAGAAATGTGATTTTTAAACCATTTAGACTTGGCCATACTTAGGAAGGGCTGGAAGATAAATCTCTCTGTCTGCGATATCCAGTACTGGTCAGCAATGACATCCTAACTAATAAGAAGGCTTTGAGCAACAACAAGTCCCAATGCTACACAGAAGACTATGACTACTTAATGATCTGATCTAGAAAACTGACATGTGTGGTTATATCCATGGGCATATGAAGTCTGCCTAATTTGCTTAGATGTTTTCCACTGTTACATCCGTTTATGTTTTTTTTTATAGTGATTTCTGAAATAGTTTTAGGATAGGGACAAACATGAGCTTTATGACTTGCCCTAAGGATGACATTAAAGCTACCTGTGAAAGTAAATGCACAAATACAAGCAACTATCTTAGAGAGCTGTTCACTATTGAAATATGCTATCATGAGAAAAATGAACAACAGAACATTGCTAGCTGCTTGCATGCATAATGTTTGTTTTCTACAGGAAAATCCAGCATCACAGCTTCTCAAAGAAGTTGAAATTTGAACTAAAGCTGTTTTCTAAAATTTCTTTTATTAAGCAGAGCTTATTGATTTCAAAATATGCTCTATTAATACAATGCAAAACTATCTGATAATAGAGTTGAAACTGAAAGCAGTACTTGAAGATGCCAGCCTGTACGCATGAGTACAGTTTTCATACAAGCTTTAATTACAGTGTAATATGATGCAGTGCTTCATGACAAGATCCCAGTGTGCATATGAAAAGATCCTGCTTCTACCCGCATGTGGTATTCAAAGGCTTTTTCTTTAAAAGAGCATGTAATAAGATGGATGCTTACAGTCCGCTTTTGAGCACACACACTGGGTGCCTTTTCTTTAAGTGACTGCATACATACAACAGCGTTACCAAGAAATATGTAAGTAGGGCTTCTGGGCCATCCAGAGGATGGAAGAAATGGTTATTTTCTTGGTGTTGACTAAATGACATGAAATATTCAGGGAAAAAAGTATGTCTGGGTGGCAGATCATGGTAAGCACGGGTGGAAGGGAAGCTTTTGGAATGGCTTGCAACAGGACCTCTGAAAAAAATAACACATCCCATGGACTTGTAGAGTGTCTTAGCTCCAGCTACTGCTTTCCCATCATTATTAACCTGCATTTCAAGTAAAGCCATCCCTCATTCTCACTCCTTGTGACACTTCTTACATAGCCACGAGCAATTTGGTATTGAGATAGGGAATACATTACTTAGAATAGAAGGATCTTGAAAATAAGAAAAACATATAGTTAATGATTGCATTGTTACATTTAGGTTACATATTTAATCTGAAAAAAATAGATTAGGAAATCCTCTGCATGACTACAAACACAAAAGATGCCATAATTCTCCCTTCTTCTCCCCAACAAGAAAGAGCGCTATACAAATGGGTATAAAATGATACAAAAGCCTAAAGCACCTATGAGGTCATGTGAGTGCCTGTGTGTCTCATTTATCTTAATGGGGGTTGCATGGGAACAATGAAGGAGCAAAAACCATGGCCTTGATATCATACATTGGTATCAGAAGAGGTGGAAAGAACATAATGTTTCCATTTAATAAAAACTGGATGCATTTCCTATGCTAGTTGTGTGTAGTTCAAATACATTGTTTTGAGAATATTCATTGCTGCTCAAAAACCCTCAAGTTATTTACAAAATACAAAGCAAGTGGAATTTCCTGGCATTTAAATGATATCACACACCAGTCCCATTAAGGTAATATAACAGAACAGAGTTCATGGCTACCGGTTTGGTATATAACACTAAACTCCTTGAGACTTACCAGCTACTCTGCTTGCTCCGTCCCGCCCAGGAACTGGCTCTGCTGTTCGTGAATAGAGGGTTGGGAGTTCAGGGATCTGGGAGTAAATGTAATTTACTGCATCTGGTGTCAGAGAACAGGAAACAGTTAGGTTTGTGCTACGAGCCTCGGTGGCTTCACTGCTTAGACAGCAGTGTTAAGTTGTCAGCCCAAACAATAGACATTGGAGCTTTGTACTATATAATTGGATCAAAGTAAACAAAGTGCAAAGTCATTGTCATGTGATTGGTGTTCAATAGACTAGCTGAGGTAGGAGAGAATCGGTCCAGATGACTCAAACCTTATGTCAGTTGAACACACCAAATTAATTGTTAGGAGGTTCTGGATTTATCAAGTCCGTGACCTTTAAAACGGCGGGTGAGGGGGGAAGGAACAAGCTTAATGTGATACATAAAATAAACAATATTTCAAATAGAAATAGAAAAGTCCAAAAATGTTAGTGTCAACAGTGCAGAAGGAAAGACCTGTTCTTTTGCACTTGGTGTTTCTGATGTTATTGAACTGGCATTTGGCTTTTGTTCTTAAAGTTAAAATTTATCAAATAATGAAATCCTCTCTAGGTATCGTTTGATATGGTGCCCACTGTGATGATCAGTACGTGTGAAGTCCCTGTGAGCTCTCTGCAGTGCCGCCTTTCATTAGCAGAGCCCATATTAGTAGAAACCCAGCTTAAAGAACTGACTTGTTCTACATTTGAGCTTATTTTTGTGCAGCCTAAGCTATATATGTTCTTTAGAAGTAAGAATTTAAGGGAGATTTACAAAAATTTACTAAACTTCTCAGTAGGCTAGGAGATGTTTTACAGCTGAGTTAAATGTAACTAGAAAGCATATATGGTCCCGCTAAGATTCAGTGACAGATTTAAGACCAGAGCTCAGAGGAGAGCTCAGAGGAGAGATGTACAAATAGCTGATTTTCAGTTTGTGTGCCAAATAAACAAACAAAAAGAGATAAAAATTGTGTTGTTTCCTATCAACCCATAATCCTTTCAGTTTTGTATGGAAACATTTAAATTTCTGTTCAAAAGTAAGGTCCTATTTGGTCTGAAACAGAATATTCTTCTTCCTCGAAAAGTTACTTTGCCACATTAAAACCAGCAATGCTGCTCAGCGCAGCAAGATGATAGCCACCATCCTGAAGAAGACACTTCACCTCTGGAGCAACGTATGTGGCTTTAATAAGGAGGTCCCCGCTCCTTACTCTCTATCTATTTTCTGTGTAAGTGGAGCATGGCACAGAGGCAGAGTGCAAGTTCATTTTGGGAAAGTGAGAAAGTTATATAAAAAAAGTTCAGTGTGTCACAGATGAATTTGAAAGAATGCAGCCTGGGAAATATTATTTTATTTCATGCTTCAATGGACAAACGGGAGTCTTGGCAAATGGGCTTTTGTATTTTAAATGCACAGTGTCTCCTAAAAGTTTTTCATGATTCATTTTTAGCAATACACCCTAAGAGAAATAATTGTTTAGGACACAGCTGACTGAGCAATGGCCAGTAACAGCTGCTTTCTTTTACAAGGTTTCTTGCCTTTGATGAAAAATTGGTACAATGCTTTGTGTTGTTATTCTGGGAAACACCATCAGCAAGTGACCAGGCCATTATCGAAAACTGAAGTAATTTTTTCAGGGCGGCTATTTTTCGGGGCCAGAGTAAGAAGAGAGTATATATTCCAGAAGTGGCAGGAATCTAGTAAGGAATTATTCATCCCATAGAGTGCAGAACTGCAACACTAATTTCAGTACATGGCCACGCAGTGATTTGAGTGAAAGACTCATCTGGCCACATATAGGAACAATCAATAAAGACTTGCACTTCTTAACTGAACAGTCAGACTTCCTTTGCAGTCCATGGGAAACAGGCACTGCAAGCGTGCAATTCTCCTCCCAGAGTCGAGGAAAAATCCTTTGAAAGTGTTTATTTTCTCCAGTGCCCGTACAGCGAACTGAGCCAACCATCTTGGCAGCGTGAGATTAATTCTGCAGCTTGACAGTACAATTCTCACTTTGACACCGGTTGTGTCCATTGATCTTAAAAAGTTTTTTGCATCCTGCCTTAGGAGACGCTGCTTATATTAGTGTTTGGTGTTGCTAACATTGGCTTAGTTTAGAAACTTTTCTGGATGTTACTTAGAGCAAATACTAAAAATGTTGCCTCTTAGTTCCTGACAATCTCTAATTATTGGACGGAGAAGAGAACTGTGTGGGGGTGGGTTCTCTTGCACTTTCTTCTGAAGTCACTGGTGGTGCCACCTGTCAGAAATATGATATTTGGCTAGAAAGAGCTGGGGCTTTGTTCATTTTATCACTTCCTGCATTTCCAAAGCAAAATGAAGCGGCGGGAACATCGTTATTTTCCATTGTACTACTTGCAACAAGGTCTGTTTCATTTAACACCTTTAAGAGGATACAAGAGAGCAATTTTACAAGGGGTAGATGAGACACAATTTGTTCACATGGAAAGTAAGACACAACATAAATATATTTGAAATGACTTCATTCAGATTTTTTTTCAACTTTTGGTGAGTTATTAATATCTAAGAATGCCATAAAATAAGTTCTGTAGCTTTTTGTACTGATTACAACAAACTGAATTTTAGAAGTATAGCATTTTCCATATTATCAGACTAAGAAGTGCTTAGGAAAGCATTTAGGGCAAGACGAGCCTTCAAGGGTGTCTACACAAACTGAATCTTCAAAACTGCTCAGAACAGCTGTCACACAGAGGCTTGTGGCCAGATGTCGGATGACCTCATTATCCAATGGGTTGATTAGCTTGAAAAAATCCAGCTACCACTAAAATTAGCACCCAAGACCTTCTGCAAATTCCGACTTCAAGGGCAGAGCCTATTCAACCTGCAAAGCCCTCTTGGGCTCTGCAGAGTTACACCACAGGGAACACAGATTACAACCTTCCCACCATGTCTATAAGACTATGAAAACGGTTTTAAGCAGGAAGCTTTGCTAAGAGGTGAATAGCTTGGATCTGACTTCAGCTGAGCAACTGGCATTACTCTAACTGTGGCAGTCACACATTTCAATAGATGCAGAGCCAATAAAAAGACTATTTAAAAATTTACAGGTGAAAAGCAGTCACTGCTGAGTTTTTACAAGACATAAGGAAAGCACTCAACAAAGATTGTATTCTGCTGCTTTGAGGATGTGCTCATCTGTCTTGCTGTTTGGTTAGACTGCTGATGAAAACCAGAGCAGAGGAAACCATAACGGCCTCTAAGCAATGTGCTGTGAGCTAAACAATCCAGGTCAGGTTTCCACACCCCTATCTTTGCTAAATGTATGCTAATTCATATCAATTTCAGGCAGAGGTTTGTACCTACATCTTGGTTCAGGCTTCATGTAACACTGGATTCCTAACACAACTCTGCTGAAGCCAGTGGAATTATTATACCGTGAATTAATTTGGCCTGCTGCAATTACTTTTCCCTTCCCACTTCATGTCAAGGGTAATGCCAGCCTCTCAGTCATGCTTTTATTAATAATCACTTGCAAACTGTAGAGTCACTGTGATTGTGGCTTCTGTATGTTGGCTAAAGAAGCAATGTGTCGTTTGCATACAGATGGCCAAAGGTTGTAGGGTACCATGTACCCTGGAGGCACGTTCAGCAGTCAAGGGAGTCACATCAGATCTTAAAGTGGCTTTTATTTTATGAATACATAGAGCCACAAATACACAGGCACACAGAAACAGCTGTTTGCTTTCCATTTATAAGAGAGAGAAAGGCTCACCCTGTGCATGCAGCACAGCACTACAGCATGTTTCTTTTCCACTGCTGTCCCAAGAAGTCACAAACAATGTAGTCTGGAGTGTATGGCTTGTTTTAAGTGAAGAGCTTGTTAGTGACCTAAGCTCAGTAAGTTGCTGAGGCACCACAGGATGCCAGAAGCATGGCTGTGAGTGAGAGACCCACAGTCCTCAGCTTTGGCTTTTCCATTCTGCTTTCTATCTTCTGGTGACTTGTAGAAGGTAAAGTGCGCTCATACTCTGCACAATGTGGGGTTTGTGTTTACTGCGCCTGGATGACTTCTAGCTCAGAAATGCTCATTTCCAAATACAGCCAACTTCTGGGAAGATACATGTAACTGGGGTGGGAAGGTCCAGGAAGGCCACCTAATTGGCCAGCAGTGCTCACCGTTGCTTCTTTCCCTTTCCTCTTAGCCTTCACCTAAACCCCTCTGGGGTCTGAGCACCATGTAGATGTGCTTTCTGCACGCTCAGAGGCTCTGTCACTGTTATACATGACACTAAAACATGCACAGGGATACAACTGTGAAATAAGTCACTTTCTATGTCATCACCACATTTAGAGTAAATGGAGGGATGGATACAGAGCAACTTCATGTGAGACTTATGCATATGGCAGGAATTGCAGAAAAGGCCACAAACGCTAGGTGTTGGTTTGGGTTTCTGTTTTACGTAAGCCTTCCTCTACGACCCATGTAATGGCTCCTGCCATTTTCCTCTGCAGGGTGTTATGGATGGGTGCCACACTGATGGCTGATGGCTACAACACAGCAAGTCCTATATGTTTTTTGAAAGGAGGAAAAACCTGTTATCACACCGTTCTCAGCTAGTTATGTATATGCTCTCTACCTCATGCGATCAGCTACACTCACAGGCTGTTGTTAGACAGCAGAAAATAGAAGACTTGCTCAATTTTTGCTATGTAGAGATGTAGAGTCAAATCATGCCCACAGAAGGAGGCAGGATGATGGTTTGCAGCCTAGATCTTCTCTAGAGCAGCAGAACGCAGTCTGCTTCATAAAATTGCTTAGAGGATGACCTCGGCTCATCTCTGAGTATTGTATAATCTCAGCCAAGAAGAATTAGTTCCTGAGAAAAAGAGATATAACATGTGGACACGTTCAGGAAGAGAATAGGCGTTGGTTAACTTAGCTATGTCCCCAGCTCCCTCTGCAGGGATAATGCATTTATTCTGTAGGCACTATGTTTTCTCTTGCATTATTTTTCAGCTGTCAGCCCTTCAGAAATCGGAAGCTGTCCTTGCTTCTGGCTCTTTCTGTGAGA